TTTTTATGTGTAACATCACATCTATTATTTGGCAATAACCTAAACAGGAATTGATTTACATTTACTACTATATTTTTCTAGAACTATACGCACTATACATATCACTATACGTATAGTATTATACGTATAGTACTGATCTGCCCATCTCTATTCTTGACTTCTTTGAATCTGGTAAATAAAGATTTCTGGTTCTAGGATTATTATATTTAAAGACATGAATAATCTATAAGCAAAAAGTTATTCGGCTTTAGATTTTGATTTTGATTTCGATTTCGATTTCACCAAGGGTATTTCAATTTTGAAAACTTTGATTTTTTCGAAAGTTTCGAATTTATTAAATGATTTTCGCCATCGTGTATGGAAAAAACTTGACTTAGCCTTTTATTACTATTTAATCCTTTCCTTGAATACGAATGTCTTCATATACTACAATGTTTATAGATGCTATCATCGACATAACAAGCAATTGTATCACCCGAGTAATAAATGAAACTTAAAGGAATTGGTTTCGAACAACAACATGTGACTACCCAAATCTCTGGAATTCACAAAATAAATAATCCTATCCTCCTTGGATCAGGTTTGAATGGTGCTGTTGGGGAGGATTAAAAAAAAATTTTTTTCCTTTCCAATTGTATAATTTCTTAAAAACCATGAATAAATCCGACGTTGATCGTGACTCTCTCACACCTCCACATGTCTATGGAAGTCTTTCCACAGGTGAGGTAATCCAAACATCTTGGAAGCTTTGGAGAAGTGAAAGGGTCTCCCCTACCCCATTTAAAAAATAATAAATTCGGATCAAAGAAACGTACCAAAATCCGAACTATTTTATTCTATGGTTGCCAGAGATCATGTTGACCATTTGGGACAAAGTACCTGAACATAGAAGATATTCAGCAGACTCTTTGAAAAATAAAGTGCTCAAATGCAGTTTCAATAAAGTTCAGAGTTTGAAACTAGTTGCAGATTCCTAATATCGCAATTCTTCAGAATTCTGCAATGCAACTTCTTAGTCGCAGAGCCAGCCATCTTTACCCTAGAGGTAGGATTGTCCTAGACAACTTTTCGGCTTCCTTTGATCAGGTGCTCCGAGGGAAGATTAAGGTTCACACAAGTGTCCTTGACAATGGATGCAGTTTCAATAAATTCCAGGTCCAATCATCATTATACCATTGGGTCACAATGCCAGATTAGTCTTATGTGGGATGTCCACCAGCAAAAAGGGGGTCTGAGACTATTAAATTGTTCTGTGTTATTAACAAAACAAAATTGGTTACACGAATAGTTTTGATATGTAAAAGTAAATATTTCAAGTCTTGTATCTCATTATTGTACTAGGTAAACATGTTCTAAATTTTTCACCAACTATAATCCTTATGATATAGATATACATTATGCAAAAAACTCAATTTTGGCCAGGAGTTCTCAGACCCCCATATTGCTGGTGGAAATCTCATGTATGCGAGGAACACGAGAATGATTGTAATGTTTTAGATAAAGTAGTATACTTCAACGCCCGTCAACTTCCGATAATCATATGGAATTTTTCTAAATTGTCTGGAACGGTTTTCCATCCTGTCCTCAACAGTCATGCTGCCTTTTTTTATCTTTATTATTCTTTAATATTAGTAACTGTTATAAAAGGTAATATGATGCCAATCATTTGTTATGATAGAGAATCTTAATAAATACCTAGAGACCCATCCCACGTTTAAGATATTTAGGCATCAATGCAAAAAAAAGTACCTCTGCTTGTTAATAAATAACTCTTCTTCATCTTTAGAACCATAACATATCAAATAAGAGCAATTTTGCCAATGAAGGCCTGGCTTCTAAAAAATAAATTGTTTTTCCAAAAAAATAATAATGAATAGGAAGCTTCTTTGTACAACACTATGTGTACGCGTTTTGTCGATCAATTTTTTATTTTTTAAAAAAAAAACAATGCCAACACAAAAAGGCACAAGAATAAAAGCAACATATGTAGAAGAATGAGTTTATGAGTAAACATAATTATAATGAGATTATCAAAAAAAAATGGCGGTGGTGATTACTAATCACTTTAGTTATTATAAAAATAAATTCGCAAAGTCAACAAGAAGAAACCAATCCACAACTCGCGAAGAAATTAGCATTATCAAGACGACAAGAGAAATTCAAAGAGCTTTTATTATAATTTTGTTTATCTATTTCTTAGGCAAGCTAATATGATCAATAATGTAAGTAGTAGTAACAAAGGATGTGTGCTTTAATTACAAAGTAAATTTTATTCTATTCTAAAAAAAGTCAATTGTTAAAATTTTATATTTAACAATTATTAATAAAGATGTGAAAAAAATTCTAATTTCAGAATTGAACGCTTTTTACTAATATAAATATTATTGAAAATTATTATTAATCTTTCATATTTTTTTTGGAATCTTACTTATTTTATGTGATTCATTCAAAATCGTTAACCTTCTGTTTTTTAAAAAGGGAAATTCTTTACAAGCTGTTTTTATAAAAATATAACTTGCAGTCTGATGCTTGCTGATTGTAAATTAGAATTTTGCTGACTGCAAATGGCAAATGGCAAATGGAGACAGTTCGAAGGAGGGGGCAGTCCTTCTCAGATCATTTCTTAACTGGCTTGTGACTAATACGAAACAGGAAAATGCTTCCACGTTGTACTTACTTCTTCCAATTCATTCTTTTTTAAATGGGTTGTAATTCGTAAGTACATCCATCTTGTAAACATATTTGGTAGCAATGTAAAGGCCTTCTCTAATATACATTTGTTACCCAATAGTTTTGCATATCCCACATGCAACCCTGTATGTCGTTGGAGATTTGAGTAGGGAAGAATATTTTGAGATGCATGTATGAATTTTACTGAACTCATCTTATTTCTACATATTGAAGGTTCACATGATGGTATTCTTTGTTTAAAAGAACTCAGAGGCAAATTTGACCACATTCACAGAATAACAGGTACACACATGCTCAGTATGTCAAAGAACACAAACATTGCAAGCGAAAGCTTGAAGGTATATATATATATATATATATATCATATTTATCTTAACTTTAAAATCTAATGTTTAAAAGAAAATACTTTACAGATTATGACTTTTCAGTTTACAGACTAGAATATAATAGGTTGAAACATGGTCTTTATCCTGAGAACTTGAAATTTTCAGATAAGCCTGAAAAAATTACATTTAATCATAACTATGGAAGCAATAATGAAGGCAGAGGATCAAGGATTCATTTTAGAAGATGATTTAATTGAAGCATTTTGCTCTAAACAAGATGATTCACTTATAGATTATAATTATTTGTACTGTCAACCAACCAGGCAATTTCATTGTCATCGTCACCAACCAGTACTAGATATTATGCAATTAATCTCAAGAATTTTGATGTGCAAATTTTTCTTACTAAATTTTTTATAGAAACTTCAAATGTTGATGTTAATTTTAGAACCTTCTTCAATAATTTACAACAACAAAATAAACATATTAATTCTAATGAGTATGTAACACTTATTCATAGAATGTGATTAGAAAAGAGAATAGAACCATCATTTATCAAAAGTTCTAATAAAATAGCACATATTACTGTTGGAACAATTGACATTAGTACTAACCCTTGAAGCTAATGCAATATGTGAATCAGCCATTCTTGATAAAAATCCTTCCAAGGATGTATATAAAAATATTGGATATTCATTCAGAAATTGGAATTGGTGGAGTTGTAGAAGCACGCAATTAATGAATTACTACAATTATAATTATTATTTTAAAATATATTTTTTTTTAAATTTTTTCATGTGCGAATAGATTATAGTTTAATATTGGCTATGGCATTTTGTTCCAAAAGAAATGTCAATAGGAAGGAACCCGCGAGACATCGAAAGGATTATTCTATTAAATCTGACACTTGAGTTCACTCAATAGCATTTTAAGCTTAGGAACCATAAAATTTGGGAGCCAAATCAATACGATTTATAATAAAAATAACCCACAGAATTTAGGACCCCCGCAAACTACACAGTGAATCTCGATTTAGCGGACACTAATTAAAAAATCTCGGCTTTACGGATAAAGTTCAAAGAACGATTCCATAAACCTCAATAAAACCTTCTCAATATAGCGGATATCTCGGTTTAACGGATTTTTTGGAAAATTTTCCCTAATACTAATACTAATTGCTCAAACTATCCCGTTAAACCGAGACATAGATTGGTTACTGCCGCAGCTGGTGAAAATTACCAAATTTGAAAAGATTGTCTCTAATAAGCCAATCACAGTGTGGGTCAAACCCTATATCAACCGTGATTTTTTGTATGTAAAACCTATCTATATAATTTGCGGGGGTCCTGGTTTATTATTATTTATGCATGATGGAAAATTTGATTTTTGAGGCCTGTATAGATTCTGTGATATCTGCTATAAATGCAGGTTAGTGAGCGATATTACCATTGTCAATATTATTAATGATTGATATTTATTGAATGATGTTTAATGAATTTCTTTCGTAAATTATATAAAAGAAAAAGGTGGCGCGTCTCGTGTTGAATTATGTGATAATTTGATAGAAGGTGGAACTACACCAAGTTTAGGAATGATTAAAGTGACTCTGAAGAAGATTAAAATCCCTGTTATGGTAGGTAGTCATGTAAATTGGGTTTTTTAGATTTTTTAATTATTATTGATGATCGATGAAATATATACTTATTTATGTTAGGTTATGATTCGACCAAGGTATTACTACCCAATTAATCACTTTTGATTATTTCCTGGTTTTTTTTAAATAATAAAACTTTATTTTAATTTATTCTTAGAGGTGGAGATTTTTGTTACAGTGATGAGGAATTTGATGTGATGTGCTTAGATATAGAGTCTATAAAATCACTTGGGGTACATGGAGTTGTTTTTGGTATTTTAAAACCTGATGGAAGAGTTGATATTGAAAGAGTATCAAAGTAATAAAAACATTATTATTACTTTGATTTTTATTTTTATTTTTAAAAAATCAAACGAACAAATATGATTTATAACACATTATTCTTCAGATTAGTTGAAGTTGCAAAACCATTGAAAGGTGATTATTTGCATCTTTGGATTTCTTGTTAATTAATATATATTAATCATTAATTTTTTTCCTTGTAAAGTAACTTTTCATAGAGCATTTGATATGACAAACGATCCATATCAGGCACTTGAAGATATAATTTCAATTGGTAGAATTGAACGAATACTAACCAGGTAGAGACAAAATAATGCTTGTGTCTAAAAATTTATTTGTTCATATATTGTAGACATTCTATTGAAAAACTGATGATAAAAATATATTAGTGGTCATGATAGTTCTGTATTGGAAGGTTTAGAAACAATCAAAAAACTTGTGGATATTGCTAATGACAGAATAATAATCATGCCTGGTGGTGGTAGTTAAATTCATCTAGAATTCAATATTTTTGTTTTAAAAAAAGAAAAAAAGTGAAAAATTTTTTTTACTAAATTAGAGATTGAAAATCCTTTAGGAATCCGTGAGACAAATGTTACCAGAATTTTAAAGGCAGTAAATTTAAAGGAACTTCATGTATCTGCCAGCGTCGATATTCCATCCATCATGAATCACAAAATTCCAAATATTCATATGGGCGGATCTTTTTATAAAGATGAATATTCTGTAAAAGTTCTTAGCGAACAAAAACTTTATTCATTAATAAGAAATGCTGCAGAAAATTAACTTATTCCGGTGTCCAAAGAAAGTTGTATAAATATCTTTTTTGAATTAAAGAATTGTTCATTATTATATTAAATTGTCCATATTAAATATTAAAAATTAAAAATTAAATTAATAATACAAACACTAAAATAAATATTATTATTATTACATTAAATTACTTTTAAAAATGCTCATTATTAAGTTGAAATTGATTAAATTAAATTAATTATTAAAAAAAAAAAATTATTATTAATTAAAAATTATTATTAATTATTAATTAAAAAATTATCCTTTTCAATTTTTAAAGTTATTGTCCATTAGAGAGATTAAATTAGAATTAAAAAATAATAATAAGTATTGGAATTAAAAATGTCTTTAAGGAAAAAAGAGAAAGGATTATTATTATATAAATTAAATTATAATAATTAGAATAATAAAAATAACAATAAAAATAAAAATAAACACCAAAGCTATTTACATATTAAATTTTAAAATTTTACAATTTATGCTGGTGATCCATCACATTTATTGCTTTTTGTTTTATTAATTCCGACCATTTTTATGTACATTCGTAATGCATCAATTATATATTCCGGATCAATTTGAGTAGTTTCTCCAAACTCTTCACGTATACGAGTATGCTTGCTAACATTTTTAAGATATAAAGCTGATATAACGTTCTAAAGTGGTAATAAATAAAATAAAAATTAATTATGTGTTAGTAAGAGATATAAAATATAGAGGCACATTAATCAATAATTTTTAATTTTTTTTTTCAAAAAAGTACCTCAATTCTTGTTATTAAACTTTCCATAATCCTTAACAATTCTTCATCGTCTGCATTATCTTTAACATGAAAAGTTAATAAGCCTGTTAAATAATCTGCACGGGAATTTCTTGCTGAATTATATTGATTGTTTATATTTCCTGATGTAATACGTTCTAAACGTAAACAAAGATATCCAAGTTGTCTCACACATGAAGGTGGGAAAATATTCTATATATTTTTTTTTATAACAAAAATGATTGTAAAAATTAAAAAAAAATTTTTAAAAATAAATAATAGCATACAGTAAAATATAATATATACAAAGTACCTCTTGTGTGATCCTATTTTGTTGACCTTCTTCCATTCGACCTTTAAGTGCTTCCGGAAAAACCTATAAGAGAAATCGTTATTAAACATTGTTTTTTTAAAAGTAAATCTAAATTAAAAAAAAAAAATTTTTAAAATACTAACTAATGATAATACTTCGGTATTTTCCAATCCTTTAAGTTTTTTTTCTCCAATGTTTTTAACAACAAACCCCATTTTTCTTAATGCAATAAGATTTTTATCTAATATAACTGGATTATTTACTATAGTATTAGTAGTAACTGTTGTTAATGGCCCTGAATAATCATCATATTCGCCATTTTTCTTAAACAATGAATCGTGATCATTTGCATCCATCAGACCATCCAACAATCTTATTTCTGCCTCGACATCTGAGCTGACACATATTTGACCACCATCAGCTGCATTGCAAATTCTAGCAGTTCTATTCACCATTGGCCCAAAATAATCCATTCTTTTTGTTACAATATCAGTTTCACATACTGGTACGCCTAAATGTATTCCCATTCTAACTGATAAGCCCCTATGCAGCAACTCATTATATTCGCCACCATAAATTTCCTTACCATCATCTGAATCGATAATTTCTTGGGGCCAGTCAACTTCAAGCAGTTGAAGTTGTACAGTAAAACACCAAAGAAGAGCTGATGATACGGTTGGAAAAGAAACCATGAAAGCATCTCCTTCAGTCTTAACTTCATAACCACCTATATTCCTTAATTGACGACGCATTATGGTATTGTGTTGTTTTATTGCATGTCTCATTGCAACCGGGATTGTTTCCCATAAAAATGTTGAATTTTTAATATCAGTAAAAACCAAAGCAACCTGTCCGGTTGGCGGAGAAATTTCTTTTTGTAATCTTGCCATCATTGAATCACTAGGGACTTCTTCTTTTCTAATACGCTTCTTACTAGTACCAAAGAAAAAGGTTGTTCCTGGTTCTTCTGTGATATATTGTGCTTTTTTAAAATTAGGGTCTCCTGTATTTGTGGATGGTTTTGATCTTCGACAAAACAGGTCTCCCACACCAATAATCATTACCATTAATTTTTTTTCCGAACCATATGCAATAGCAAAATCACGTAATTTCTGTGCGGCCATCATCAAATCTTTTTTTTCAGTTCGTGCAATGTCCACAGCTGTCTGATAACTCATACAATCCCATAATCCCTTTGTTGCCAATATGACAAACTCATCTTGTTCTGATAATTCAATCACATCAATCACTGGATTAGAATTTATAATTGGCATTAAATGAAAATGTCCAAATGATTTAGAAACACTAAATTCACCATTCACCAAAAAATCATGAGATAAAAATCCGCCAGCTTCTCTTATTCTTTGGAATTCATTTGTACTGGTTGGATCTTCACATTTTGCAATAACATGTGCATTACCATCATTACGACTGATGACCGCTGTGGTGTCACCAACATTTGCAACGTATAATTTTGTTCCTGAAATATATGCTATCAAGCCAGAAGCGCCCGATTTATTATTACCAATTTGTAATGATATTGAATGATGATGATTACTCTCGTTTTCTCTGGCATACTCTTTCTCAAAACTTGAATTGAAAACTTTTAAACCAAGTTCTTTATTTAAACCCAAAAAGGTTCTTCTGATTGCTGATTCAACTGTTTCATTGTCTTTGAGTTTCTCAAGCTCAGACTTGAAATGATACGGAAACCAATCGTGTAAATATTTGGTAACAGGACCACCTTGATCCGGACCATTTCTCCCATCAAAAAGGCCAAATAAACATTCGTCATCACGACTACGAAATTTTGGAATTACAGTTTCCCATATTGACAGATGGTGGTCCTTTATTCCTAATATATCAGCCATTCCATACGACATAGAATTAACTTCGGATGATGAAGTTCTAATACGCCTATTATCATTTTCATCAGGTACTGTCAAATTCAATAGTGTAATATCCATCAAACCTAGAACACTGAGTCGGGTTAAAGCACCAAAACCTGCAAGATTTCTATCTCTAAGTGGATTGATCTCTGTGACATGTGCATGTTTGATTTCAAATCTTTTATTACCAGAAAGATTTAAAAATTTAAGCTCCATATTCCAATTCCTGAATTTTTTAGAAACAAAAAATTTGTAACGTCATCATCGTGATGAATAATTTAATTAAATAGATTGGTAAAATATATATATATATATATATATACAAATAAAATAAACAACTATTACCAATTCCAGTCATATTGCCAATTAGCGATATTATATTTAAGAGCATTACTTCCAACATCTAAGACAATCAATTTTCTTATTTTACTTAATTCAGCTGGCAATGTTTGTAGCTTATTACCATTTACATGTAAAATTCTCAAGTTTGACAATTTTTCAATATCATCAGGTAATGATGATAATTGATTACCAGAAAGATATAATTCTGTCAGGTAAGGATTAATTAAACCGCCAGTTGGAATTTCATCTAAATCATTAAATGAAAGATTTAATATTTTAAGTTCCATTAATAATGAAATCGCCGGAAATATTTCTACGGTTAAATTATTGTCTCCCAAATAAAGAGAACGCAAAGAAATACATAATGGATGTTGATAAGAAGATCTTTTAGAAGTCAATAATTGTGATTTTTGTTGTTGTAGTGAGTCATTTGTATTTTGTAATAGTGGTGGTGAAGGTGGCGGTGGTGGTGAAGGAAATTGTTCGAGAAGATTAGAACTGGCATTTAAAACTGTTAAATTGTTACATAACCAAATTTCTTGTGGAAGTGAAGTTAAATTGTTATTACGAATTTCTAATACTCGTAAAGACACTAAAGTACTAATTTCGCCAGGTAACTCAGAGAGAATATTGTTTACGCATGACAAATGTGTCAATCTTGTTAATAATCCGATTGTTTTTGGAAGCGAAACAAATTGGTTATTGCTCAGATCAATTTTTTCAATTGCAGGAAGGTTTTCAAATAGTTCATCGGGCAATGTGGTAAGCTTTGAGTGTGCTAAAGAAAGAACTGTAAGACAAGTTGCTGGCGCAGACAACCCAAATTGTGTAAAACGATTACTAGACAATATTAATTGTTGTAGTGTTCTTGAAGAAAGATTTATCATGCTGATTTTGTTTGAATCTGCTAATAAACGTTCAATGTTTGGCATTGAAGAAATTACATCTAAATTTTGAATTTTGTTTTTACGAATATCTAATTCTCGTAAAGAGGTTAGGTTTTTAAAACTGTTAGGTAATGAATCTGCAAGTTGATTTCCTATCATAAATAGTCTTTTTAAGTGGACTAGTTGACCAATCTCATCAGGGATAGAGGAAATTTTATTGAAGCTAACATCTAGTTTTGAAAGTGTTGTTATTTTACAAATAACCAATGGAAATTCCGTAAAAGAATTATTGGCAATATTAAGAAAGTTAAGAGTGGTGAATCGTTCAAAGTATTCTGGCAAACTTTGAAGCATGTTATTTTCTACTTGAAGATTTAATATGCCTTTAATTTTATCAAGTTTAGCATGATCTAAATCTTTGAGCTTGTTTGAATTTATATTGAGGCTCGATAGCAGTTCAGATTGTCTTACAGATTGAGGAATTCGTTCAAGATCATTTGAAGATAGGTGAAGCTCACGAAGTTGAGTACATGATTGTATAAAATCAGTTGGAAGGTCAAGCATCAAATTTTGTGAAACATTAAGTGATCGAATGACATGGGCATGTTTATAAAGAAATATAGGGATAGTTTGTAAATTGCGTGCCTGAAGGTCAACATGTTGAAAATTTGAGATATTAACTTCTTCCTATGTAAAAGAGGAATCAGTACACACGTACACACATTAATATTAAACACGTGAGTATAAATAAAAAAATTATAATAATGGTAACATGAAAAAAATTAACCTCGAATCTCGGTACGGTTGTTTCACGAAATGTAAAACGAACCAAATAACTATTATCTTCTCTACCCAGATCTTCTAAATTATCTTTTTCAGTATAACCTGCTCGTTCAAGCCATATTTTTTGTAATTTTAATGGTCTTTCATGAGAAGTTAGCACACGTTCTATGCAATAAACAACATAAATAATATTAATACTATATTTATTATAATCATATTTGATGCAATAGGCAAAAAAGAAGAAATAACCCAAACTTTTAAAATTACCTAAATAGTGTCTTTTTACAAATAAATTATATTTTGAGATATCTTGAACAAAGAATTTTTTCCCCAACATTTGACATAATTCAGCAGTGGTAGTATTTAATGAACAATTTACGGTACCAAAAGTTGAATCAGGACGAAAAATTCGTATGGTAAACTTTAGGAAAAGTGAAAGTGTATGGATAGGTAAAAATAATAATAATGATAAATTTAGTTATAATGATTGGATTAATTCAATGAGTAAAAATACATATACATATACATATACATATACATATACATATATATTTATATTCATAATTATAATTGTAATTATAATTATATTTATTTGATAATATACCAATTTATTAGTTTGATCCGATTTATCATTTATATCTTTTAAATATTTATTAAAATCTTTATCTGTTAAAATTGATGATTCATCTGGAGAAGCTTTTCGAACAGCCCATGATTCAGGTGGAGACCATATTTCTGATCCATCGTAGAATGATTTTTCTGGTTGGAGTTCATCGTATAACATGTAATTTGGATTTCTTATAATATCATTCATATCAACAAAATCGGTATCAACTAAAATGGAGATAGTTTTTTTTTTGAAAGATATCAATTTAATGTTATTAAATGATTTTCTCTAGAATTTTTTTTTAAAAAAAAAAATCAAATAAGGAACGATATCAATACGATTGATTCCATTTAAAATCAAATCCTAAAAAAATTTTTGAATAAAAATATTGATTATTTGAAAAGATGAATGTAATTAATTAGCGTTGGTTTTGTAGAAATATAAACCTTTTTTTTTCCTGATTTATCTTTTTTTGATTTAATCCAAGGAATGTCATTTTTTCCAGGTAATGTAGCAGATTTAGGATAAGTAGGAGTAATAATTGATCCAAAAGGATCATCCCTATCATATGTTGGTGTTATTACCAAATTAGTATGTATGTAGGGTTCTGCATCTGAGTTTTTACGAGAAGAAGCTATAATAATTATATATGTATGCATGAAATAAACATTACGTGTATGCGTGTAAGTTAATATGCAGAGAAATCTATAATAATAGTAGCGATAGTAATAACAATAAAACCTTCTGGTGGTGCCGGTATTTCTTTATCTTTTGATCCTTTTCTAATAAACCATTTGGGGAAAATAGTTTTCTTTTCTTTAGTAGGGGTTGGATTTATTAGAGTATTACTACTAGCGGTTGAATGTAAGCTACCGGAATCTAAAACAGAATCACTTTCTGAACTTCTTGTGCGTCGATGAATTCCTCTAAATGAATGAGAATCCGTAATATTATGGTTAATACTATTATTGCTATTATGATGATGATGATGATGATTATTATTATGATGATCATGATCACGATTATTGTTGTTGCTGCTGTTGTTGTTTTTGGACGAATTTTTACTAAAATCAGCTGATGATGGCGATGATTGATGAATAGATTGTTGATGAGTAAAATGAGCTATTTCGGGAGGAGGGAAATAACCCACATAATTAGCATTTATATCGTTTTGTACAGAATCAAAAGATTTTCTTCTTGGACCATCAGTTTGTGGTAAAGATAAAGCAGATTTGAGATTTTCAGCTGAATGTTTTCTAATAAAAGTAGAATTTCTCGATTTATTTGATTTAGAAGTAAAATGATTCATCGTTTGTAAAATTGGCTCATAGCTTGGTGAGGAAGGTCTTGAGGCAGAACCAAAAAACAAGGAAAATATCGAATCTTTGTCTTCACGAGATTTTTTCCTTCTAGTTGGAGATTGTTCGGGTGTTGTTGGAAGGCGAACAGGTGGTGATATTTCCAATTCTGAGGATCTTTTTGGAGTCATGTATTTAAATTTTATTTACTTATTGTAATTATATATTTAATTAAAAGCATGTATTTTATTCTTTTAAAAATGAAAAAAAAAAAATTTATAAAAATAAAAACAAATTGTGAAACCAACTAAAAAAAACCTAAAATTTTTATTTTGTTTGTTTGACCAAAATATCTTATTTCATCATCAAGTAATAATTGTGAAAGCTATCCTTTAAATTATAAGACGTTTATAGCAAAAACCAGTTTCCTAAGCGGAAATTTATGGAATTATAGAATTAGGAATTTATTTATTCATAATAATAAAGAGGAACTTTGAAAATTTTAAATTCATTATTGGACAAATTAAATTTATTTATATTTATTTTTACCCCTAATTCAAATTTTATTATTTATTTATTATGCAATAAAAATATAGTAATTCATAATGACATTAGGAGGTTCAAAAGCAAAGAGGAAAATTTTAGTTAGCACTGAGACGTGACGCATTAATTAATGATCAGATTAGATTAGATATTATTAGGAATAATTAAAAAAATTGCATAATTCAAGCATTTATGTTCTTTCAATATTTAACTGTCTCCCTTTTTTTTATTCTTAATTTTTTATAAAGTTAATCAATATCAGCTTGCTAAACTTTAGCAATCCATCAATGGTTTTGCAAAAAATATTGTATAAATTTTCCACTCCTTTGTTATAAATCTCCCAATTCCTCAACATATTACAACCAATGATAATTCTCAAAAAAATTCTGTTAAATTTTTAAATGACTGGAAGTGTTTGCAAAAATAAAAGCAAATATGCAATGTGAAAGGAATTTCAGAAATTAATATATGCTCTGATGGTAGGTTTATTAGAAAAATAATTTTTTTAATTACTCCATCAACATATATTAAGTATTATAAATAATACAATGAGTTTTTTTATTATTATTATTTGATATTCCAAAATTAGAAGATGCATCTAAAGTAGGTTCTAAAAATGGGCAGAATTGCATATTGAAGGAGAACCAGCTAAATGCTTTGCTCTGTCCGTTTCAATATAATTAGAAAGGGTGACTGAGTGCATATCCTATTAATGCCTGTGTTGTAACAATTGAGCAGGTGGCTAAAATAGAGATTGTTGGATTGCAAGGTGACAAAGAATATGAATCAACAAAAAGCCTTAGATATGGAGCGCTTATAATAGAATCCTTTAATCACATGAAAATTTTAATTCAATCTAAAATGTCCTTTTTCATTATCAAATATTGGGATTCTGATGGCAGTCATATAAAAGGATCGATTCTTACTTTCTTCTACAATTTATTACGCCTATTTCAAGGTGAGAGCATAAACAAAATAATGATACGGCTTGTCTTTTTTTTCCTGAATGCGAAAAATGAAAAAGACAAAACAACAATGGTGACGAGCATAGTAGAAATTCTATTTTGATCAATGTTGCAATTATCATTTTAGTATATGATCTTCGTCCATATATCGAAACAAGTACAGTCTATATAATATATAGTAATACTAATTTTGGTCCACTTTTTCTTAAGCAATATATAGAACTAAAAATAATAATATGAAACTCATTTACATCAGATCTACTATGGAACCAAGCATTAGAAGTATTATGAAGAAAGAACAAGGTGAAAAAATCACACCTTACATTTTTAAATTAAATGATTCTTAGATACTTGAGGCTTATCTAAGGAAAGAAAGGATTACCTATGAAATTTACCAAGAAAGAAAAATCTTAACTAAATAAAAGAGCTTTGACACAAAACCTAAAAAAGAAGATGGAATTAGAAGAAAAATAATTTACTACCTAACTCAAGTTAATTAACAGTATATGTGAACATGTGTATATTAACACATCAGAAAGAAAAGTTGCCATGTAACAACAATTTTATTAATTAATTTCATGAATCTTTTTCTTTTGTCTTTCTTCCTGGAAGATAGGCAAAAATTTTTATCAACACTATTTATTCCTCCTAAGAGTAAATAATTAGTTGAATTAGTTTGTTGTAATGTTCAAGATTATTATTACATTAAAATCATGTGAACATAAACAATTGCTCTTTGCTGAAAAAAAATTTTCTATCATAAGATTAAATAAACCTATTAATAACATGCATTTCTGATATGGGGAATGCTGTAACAAACCAGACAAAGTGAACAAGGTAATCTACTCTATATACCAATATTTAATTTGCGTAAATAAACAAATTTGACAAATTCAGTAAGACAAACTGAAAAATCTAAGTTCTAAGCTCAAAATTTTTGTGGCAAAATTTGACTATTTATCATATTTGAATAACATTCATAATAATCATAACAAACTTAATTATGAGGAGCATGGTATCATGTATGTATAATATGATTTATATGATTTATAGTTTATTGCATATCACGTAAAATACTAATATGTAGCAAATCCTATTCTACTAAAAAAATAATAACACTACAACAATAAGCAATACTTTTAATCCAATAAAAAGATTCTCTCAATAAAGAAATATGATAATTTTTTTTAAAATAATCAAAAAAATTACTTTGTTTGTTGTTTTTCTTTTGAATGAGATATTTCTGTTAAAAATGATGACGCATTATTATTGTCATTTTCTGAGGGTGACTCTAAACCTGACTCATAAATATATTGATTAATATTTTCAATCATTAACTAAAATAATTTGGTTGATCATTATCTTGAGCATCTTTGATATTTTGATTTTGTCTTCAATGTAATGTGTGTGTTGTCTCCCATTTGGAGGACCAGAGACTTCACATATTGCAAATTCAGTTTTCAAGGATTTTATCACCCATAAAATGTCTATTTTTCTTCCACTACTTCTTGTTTCATCATCATTCTTATCTTTATCTTGATTGTCTGCTGTTGAAATCAAATTTTTCTCACCACTAGTATATTTATCATTATGATTTTTTAAAGGAAGAATCTAATTCAGGCCATATATGTGGATTGTATAACACTTACAAATAAATATCCATTTCATTAAATTGTTGCTGGAACAAACTAGTAATCACTGGAGTTAGAAACATTTCCCTGTAAGATCGTTCAGATAATGTTTCTTTTAACAAATCATTTCCTCACCCAAATGATTGTACTCTGTAAAAAATAAATAAATCACATATAATGATCGGAAAATAGTTTTATAATGCGAGATAAAAATACCTACAATTTGTAAAAAAAGTCCCAAATAAATTCTTTTTGGTGGTCCCCTCATGTTTTGAGAAAAATCCATTAACAGATTTTTTTAGATCAATACTCTAATATAAAATAATTGTAAATATAATGGTTTTGAATTTTGTTTGAAAATAAGAATATTTCTTTCAATGCAACGTACCTTTAATATTTCTATCATCAGCTTTTCAATTTCAATATACTCTTTTTTTTAGGTTTTAAAAGAATTTTATTAATTTCATTTTCAATGTCAATTGTCAATGATTTAATAAAGCTACAACTAGAGCCACGAGTTATATTTAAAATGTTGTTATGAGCAAGCCTATGATTATAAGAAATGAATCAGCTTAAATCAAATTTCCAAATAAATTGTTTTATTAAAACTTACTAATTATAACTTTGAATTTTATTTTTAGCTTTCCATTTCATGAGGGCTTCCCTTATATTAATATCATGAATAACTAATTCTCTATCACATAGTTCGTTATTTTCCTATTGATTGGAAATTGTTTATTAAAAACAAAACAATCAGTTTTACCACCCATTTGAAAAAAATGATGTAATTACTACTTGCTTTATTTTCATTGACATTAGTTAAAATGTTGCTAAAATTAAAAAAAACATAGTATATAGTTATAATTAGAATGTCGCTTGTAAAAAGACAGCCACCCTCAAACAATACTTACTTTTGTGGATCTTCTATAGTGGACTGTTTTCGTTTCTTTGCAAAGGACTTGCATTTAAAAAAAAATTAATTGATCAATAAAACCAAACAATTTAATATTTATTATATCATATATATCGCCTACATTTTCTTCATCCAGGACATGTTGTTCTTTTCCGGCTTTTTTGATTTCTATTTGACCTATTTTTTACATACATGATGGCGAAAGTCATTTGATAAAATTCGAAACTCGAAAAAATCACAAGTTTTCGAAATCAAAATACCCTTGGCGAAATTAAAATCAAAATCTAAATTCAAAATCGAAATCGAAATTAAAATCAAAATCTAAATTCAAAATCGAAATCGAAATTCAAAATCGAAATCTAAATTCAAAATCGAAATCTAAATTCGAAATTCAAAAAATTGAATAAAAGCACTTTAAAGACATTGATGCAAAAATGAAAAAAAGTTATTTATTAATTTCGAATTTTGAGTTTTGATTACAAATTTCGATTTTGATTTCGAATTTCGATTTTGATTTCGAATTTTGATTTTTTCGAAACCTGTTAGGGTATATTCGAAATGTTTGAACCCTAATCGTCGAAATTATTGTCGAAACAAAACTATTTCGCCATCATGTATGATTTTTTAGTGGGAAAGACATTTTTTCTTTTATTATTATTTGATCGACAAACGCGTATACAGTCAAAGTTCGTGGGGTTGGCACAGAAAAATTTATGAATTTATCGAATTGTTCCATCATAATACGGTGCAGATCATCTATAATCATTAATTGCTTATAGTAACAATTGGTCAACTTCAAAATACTAAAACAAAAA